TCTGTTTGTCTGTAACTATCTTATGTGGCGCCGTTTGGAAATCAAGTGAAACAGCTCAGGCAGGTAGGAACAAGCTGAGAATGAGCCGAACTTCTTGGGCACACCTGACTCAAGCTAGCTCCGCTCGCTAGGGGCGGAGCGTCCCACTAGGGGCGGGCCATGCGCGGAAATGTTCAAGTGAGCATTGCCGGTGGTGACGCTCTGACAATTTCTAGCTTTCTAAAAGGGTTGTTTGATGAAAAATAGATCCTCTGTAGTCGTTGTTCGCAATTCGAGGATCCCTTTAAGAATTTCTTTCTAGCCCTTTTCTTTCAGCCTGTGAACGTCTCACTATTTGTCGTCACGATGGCACTGTACGGAATATCTGCGGCTGTATTTGCTGCGCTTATATCATCTCTCTTCAAGACGCCAAACACTGCTCTCAAAGGTTCTTTCCGCTAACTTTGGTGGTTCTTTTTTCCCAAACACTTCTGAATAGGTCCTTACTTTGACCAATTAATTTCATTGCAATTAATTCGTCTTATACAGAACGAAGCCTAAGAAGAAATTGTCATATATTGCTTTTATTTAATTATGTTTTTTATTTACTCATTAATAATAATAAATAAATAAATAATGAGTAAATAAAATCAGTATATGACAATAATAATTATATATAATAATAGTTATAAATAAGTAAACGAATTGCTTTTGTTTAATTTGTGTTTCCATCAAAATAGGTTTTATAGCCCGCTACAATGTATCGCGGGAGATGAATAATGTTTTTAATCTGGTTTTGTTGCGGTGAGAAAAGTGCCTAACCGGTGCCACCTGTCCTAAGGTCTTCGCTCTTTCAATCATCCCCTTCTCGACATTTATTGCTAGTATGCGACCGACTACTGATTTGGATGAGCTTCACGCGTTTTGTCGCACCCCTCAGAGTCAGCAGTTTGAGTCAAAACGGACTGCTCAGCCATATGGTAGAAGTGCTAAGATACAATTTACATATGAAGCTATCGAATAGAGTTACTGCAAGAAATTCCTTCAGGAACGCAGCACTCCAGAAATGCATTATGAAAACAATCTGCACTTGTGGGCAGAGCCGAAGAAAGAATTAGGTCTGGATGTTCAATACATTGTAACAAAAGTAGCTGCTTACCCGGGTATAATCACGAGATTTACTTCATACTAACAGTGTGGAATCCTTTGAACTAAATGTAGTGAACGAAATCTAGTAAACGTGACGTCTTTCGTAAAGTCAGATTTCAACTGCTGGTAGTGGAAAAGGCTTGGGTTATTTCCGAACAAACTCGGAGAAACTGGTGTGCAAGGAAACCTCTTGAAGATTGAGAGCTGTCGCACACTACAGCGACCGCTGTAAGTAGCCCTGAAATAACGCGGAATTCATGTGTCTTGTATGTAGTTATAGGTCGGTTCGAAATTAGGCTTTAGGAGTTGGATTTACCCCTGAACTCAGTACATCAAGCTCACCCAAAATGAAACATCAACTGTTTTCTTATAACTTTTTTTTAAAACTTATAAATGGAGAGACTAGTCGGATCGCCCCGCTGACGTCAGACTCATCTCCCTCTTGTGTTCGAGTTGACCCGCCGCCTGCACACTCCCAAGCTTGAAAGCTCTGGTCCAAAAAAACAGGATCTATTAATTTCCAGCAAAACATACACACTTACACACTTCGTGCGCATCGCGCCCGCCATGAGCGAAGTCCTGCTCAAGTTCTGTGTGACTGTGTGTTTTCACTCAAATTACGCTCAGTTCACACACGGTCCACCCCCATCAAGTAAGATCCGCTTCCTGTGGGCGAAGTCAAAGGCACAGTGCAGGATAAAATGATTTCTGAGATTTCCTCTCAGGATGAATCTGAGGCTTTCGCGAATACCATATCTAGCCCTATTAGGTCGGAAAACGGCCTAGTCGGGGAATCATAAAGGCTCAAAGATTGGCTCGTGTGTATCCTCGGACGAGTTTCACCGGCATTGTAGAGGCTGCACCATTTACAAGGGAACCCATGTACGAAGTTCAAAAACTTGTCATGACCCATAGCGACAGTAA